AGGGGATCTGCACTTCCACAAGATTAAATACAAATATAATACAAAAAAAAGCGAATTTTCAGCCTTGATGTAACAACATTCATAATTAAGTAAAGATAACACCCTTTTCACCCCGGTTACATTTTCCATTTGCCCTGTACGATGGGCTCTGTAAGTGATGAAAGTGGGGGATGTTGGCTTATCAGGCGCCCGCAGCTCACAGCCAAAGTGAGGGAGAGAGAGAGATAGATAGATAGAGAGGGGGTCCTGCGATCATTACACACTCGTGTTCTATCCCTATGCATTGGTCATTTGTATTTAAATGAAACGTATTTGTAACGCTAATGATTTAATTTATTAAAATGTAAGCTATTTTGTTATTGATCTGTATCTATATATATTATTTTTCGACTACTTGTAATCTGTTTTTTATTTTATATTTATGAAAGCCTTAGGCTCTGTATGACTTTACTATCCCTTTAAGTGTGCAACGTAATGATTTGTGGTTATTCAGCTTTCAAAGATTTTAATTGTAAATAAAAAAACATAATGATAACAAGTAAATGAAAGGAGTCTTACCTCTGAATGAATTCCAGAGTACAGGCTGCCTCTTCCTGGTACTGCAGCCAGGTAGTCTCTAAATGAAAGGCTTTTTACAGCTCTACAGTGTTTTTAAACAATGTGCTGTTCTCATTACAGCAAGCATCTATTATTCAATGTATTTCACAATAGCTTTTTGTATGCTGTTTGCATTATTACCTATGTGGCCCATTACCCTGACAGCGAGGGCAGAACATCAGGGAGGTCGGAAATGCAAACACGTATAAAGCTTTGTGCAGAGCTTAATGAATCCTTAGAGAAGGCTTTGTTTAGGTTACAAACACTTCTCCTTATTCCTCTCCAGGGCCAGCTGTATTCAAAGAAAGTGTAGGACTTACTGTGCAAATGTTAAGTATTGTTTCAGATACAATACTTGATTACTGTGAGGCTTATCTAGACGACATTCTCTTTGGGTCTGCTTATAAACTGTAGCAGGAGAGGAGAGAAAATATATTGTAGGCAGCAAATGTATGCCGTAGATTTAAAGCTTATCATTTTCAGTTGTTTGCCAATTTACACTGAAATAAACAGAGCTTTTTTAAGTATTACACCGATTTAAACAGATTCTCTCTTGATCTTTATTTGCTTAGCAATCTAAAAGACGTCATGATTTCTGCTGCTAAAGCTAAACCCTAAAGAAACCATCACGGAACAGTTTTCTTTCAAACAAAACAGGCATTGTGAAAACTCCCACTCTTGAGAACATCTCAACACTTTATTCCATCGAAGCACGAGTGGACCACATGCGTGTTTCAGAGAGCGACCCCTGAAGTGTTAATATATAACTCTTCTCCATGTGACCTTTTCGGGAGGTATAATTTACCTTTCAAAGTGCACCAGAGTGACTCTGTCGAGCCTGCATTGCAAGGAGAAAACTTAAGTGAGAGAAAAATCAAATAAATTGGTCTCACGGTCAGAGATGTGCATCTGACTGAAGAAGAAGTCCAACATTTCTCCCTGAGCCCTTTGTCTCCGTCTGTCTGGAGCTGTCCGCGGTGCTGAACAAGACTTCAGTCGCTCTCTAAATAATTAGTTAGTAGTTTTGTCTCCCCGGATGATGCTGTATTACATATAAAATAAACCACAGCATATGACATGTTCAGAGAGACAGAGAGACAGAGAGACAGAACCTAAACTATTTCCCAGCTTATCTCATGGACCTCAAGGAGCACTACTACCTGCTGCTTCTTCTCATGCTGTTCTCAGGTAAGACTTTATTATGAAACCCAGAACAAATGACTATACTGTTATATCAATCTTGGACCTATAGTAACTAGGTATGTTATTGAATTACAGTTTCCATAGAATCGTCTCTTTGCTAATTATTACGTTAAGTGAGCTGACGCCAAGCTCAGAGCCGGAAATGCAAAGAGACTACATTTAGATATAATACAGTTAAGTGTTAGTTAATGGAAGAAATGTATGTGCGCTGTATGTGCGCTCTTATTGGTCAACTATTTCTGTGTTTTGATTCCTCTCTGTTTCATTCTTTCCTGTTGTGAGTACTGGATCGCCACAACAACACTGTAAAACAAAAACTCGTAAAAGAACGGTCAAAGTAGCGGCTGCCAAACAAAAACCCTTAAATTAAAGTAAAATACTTTAACTGAAATAAAGTGCAAAAGCCATTAATTTAATTTAAAGTACACTGTAAAACAGTTCATGTATTAACATTGTTTTTTAAGTTGTCTATGTTGATTTCACTTTAGAGTTGAAACAACTACCAATCTTACATTATTAGTGCAAGAAAACTAAATGAAATGTGTGTGGCAAAAAAATAATGACCAGAGGGGCATGGAGCTACCATCCCCACCATACGTCATCTCAAATCATTCAGAGCTGATTGGCTGTAAGTACGTGTGCCGCGAAAAGTGTGGTGTGTGAAGAGGAGACGAGAGAGCTGCAGTGACGCGTCCTAAAACCAGGAAGTAAGCTGCGCATGGCTTCCCTCGACAAAAAAGCAATGAGATTTCTCCAGAGGATTTTAGAAAATAGCTGGAAATAAGATCTGTGGGAAACGTACCTGTTAGATAAATGCACGTTTTGATCAGCCGGATAACATCCACATGTCTACCCTACTTTTATAATTTTTTTATCATAAATCTATGGATTAGATTTATGATAGACTTTTGAAACTACAAGAACATAAGGAGGACTTTTACAAAAAAGTAATAGAAATGTTTGTCCAGAAGGATAGGCAAATGGACTTCATCTTCAAGTCAAGGTAAGACCGCAATTTGATTGAAAATGGGATCTTACTAAGAGAGAACAATTCAATATTTAAATGATAAAATTACATTTTTTGGGTATCCTTTTGTTGAACTGTCTGTTTAAAATTAATCGAAGCATCAGACAAAAAAAGCTTTTGAAAATAATATTATATTTTGGTTTAGGTCAAAATATAATATTTGTAAACCTGAAGAGTCAGTGCCAGTGCCTCACCAGCCATGAACCTCACTGCACGTCACTGCAGAAGCTTATATATAGACATCTACGTTTTTTGTGCCCCACCACTTTTGTACATATAAAAACGCCACTGCTTATATCAAATAGTGAATTCTAGTAAATAATGTGCAGCCGCGGCGCCAGGATTTCAATTGTGGGTGGGCCAATGTAATTTCGGCTGGGCCTGTTCTAATAGATGTTTCTCGTTAACAAAAATGTAATAAAAATAAATACCGCGGTGAAGTTAGTTTTAGGTTGGATATTCGACGGACATTCGCGGACCAGCCAGGAGCGTCAGTTTCCCCTGCTGCTGGCTGTATTACGACGGGGAGATCTTCTGCGCGAAACGAGGCTTTCACTTAGGGACCATCAACAAATGACTTTTCAATTACACAAGAAAAATGTTGTTTTTAATAAATCGACAGCTTCTCGATCGTGTGAATGTGAAGCAAATTCACTCTAGAGCATACATTTATTGACCACACCTCTTTTTATTGCATTTTAATACTTTAAATATTTTTATATTAATATTTTGATGGAAAAATGAGCTTATTTCTTCAATACCTTCCAGGTCATGTGACCTAATCACTCAAAATCAATGCTGGGTCAAATAACTACACTGGCTGCATAGGATACACCTCTTTTTATTCCATTTTAATACTTTAAATATTTTATATTAATATTTTGATGGAAAAATTAGCTTATTTCTTCAATACCTTCCAGGTCATGTGACCTAATCACTCAAACTCAATGCTGGCTCAAAGAACTACACTGGCTGCGTAGGACACACCTCTTTTTATTCCATTTTAATACTCTAAATATTTTTATATTAATATTTTGATGGAAAAATTAGCTTATTTCTTCAATACCTTCCAGGTCATGTGACCTAATCACTCAAAATCAATGCTGGGTCAAAGAACTACACTGGCTGCATAGGACACACCTCTTTTTATTCCATTTTAATACTTTAAATATTTTATATTAATATTTTGATGGAAAAATGAGCTTATTTCTTCAATACCTTCCAGGTCATGTGACCTAATCACTCAAACTCAATGCTGGCTCAAAGAACTACACTGGCTGCATAGGACACACCTCTTTTTATTGTAAATTAGCTTATTATCTTAGCTTAGCTTATTTCTTCAATATCTAATGACTCAAAATCACTTTCTGAATTGAATACTAGTCTGTACACAATAGAAACAGCTCTTTATATCGGATAATATTACATCCTCTATTTAATATTAATATTTCTATGGAAAATTCAGGTTTTTTTCTATAGCTTCCCTGTCATGTGATCCAGTGATTATCAGAAAGTAATACAAACAAGGCTACACAGGACACATGTTTTACTAATCGTCATCATTGAGCACATTTCAAGTATTACTTGCACAAAGGACATTTCCAATATCCTGTCTCTGCCTTTTTAAAGTCTCTGCTGTCCATTGCCAGACACTGGGCATGGTACCATCGCTCACAGTCATCACACTGAATCTGTTGAAGTGAAAGAAATAATGTATTTATATATTTGTAGCTTAGATTACCATTCAGTTGTCTTAATACTCAAGTGTTAGTGAGGAATCAGCTGACACAATCATCTGGTCCTTAAAACCCACTGCCTGTGTTTTAACATGCTCTTGTTTTGTTTTTGTTTTTTTGTTTTATTGTTCTGTCTTTTAAATTGTTTTATTTAAGTATTCCAGTAATGTGTGTTGCATGTTTTAAATGTATTGTATTTACTTGTTTAAAATTAAATGTGTTTTAGGTTGACTTTTAAAATCTGTCCAGGGACTACAGATGAAAAATAGCCTCTTGGCTAACTCTGGCACATTTACAGAGATGTTAATTAATGTGCACTGTCCCTGTTAAATAAATGAATACATTAAAAAATAAATGTAGACATCACAATTCCACATTTTCTTCACAACAGCTCACCCAGTTTGTGATGGGAGATCCAGATCCTGGAGGCCTTAAGCAGCACACATAGCACAATAAGTGTGCTCATCAAGGACTGAAACAAGATAACAATACATGTATGTCAGCTTCTATATACATACATATACATACATATATATATATATATACATACATACAGACACACATATACATACATACACATATAGCAGGTCTCCCTTGAAAAAGAGGTCAATGATCTCAATGGGATACAACCTGAATAAATAAAGATTTGAAATGAAATGAAATACATATATTCATATTTATTTACCTGATGCCTCAAGGATTTCGAGAGCCAGTTCTATCCTCTCCTGTTTCATGTATTTCTTCGAACACTCGAAATTCACATTCGGGATCAGAGGGAAGGACTCCATGACTGCCTTTGCCATCTAAACAAACAACACTTATGTTATGGAGGTTTTTTCTTCTTTATTGTATACAGGGTTCCTGCAGGTTTCGCCAACTCAAATTTAAGACTTTTTAAGACCTTTTTAAGACCACTTCGAATAGAATTTAAGACCTATTTCACGGCAAGAAAGTATGAAGGAAAATTGCTATGAAAGAAGAAATACGTCCCATAATTACTTACAAATCAAATGTATTCATGTTCAACATAAGAACAATGACTGAACATAACAGCATAACAGTACAGAACTGTGTTAGCCAAAAAGTGTGTATGTGTCTCTGTGTGTGCTTGTGTGTGTGTTAGGGCTGTGCAATTAATCGTATTTTAATCGCAATTACGATTTTGGCCTGCCACAATTACAAAAACATAATCGAAAAAACCTATTATTTAGCTTTGCTAGGTTGTGACAGTGCACTACGACATATTTGATCTAATTAATTTTAGTCTAATTTATTTTTATTTATCATATTTATATATGTTTAGTAGCTTGTGGAAGTGCGCTCCAAAATATTTGTTGATCTTGTTTATTGGTATTTATTATTTTGATATTATTTATTTAAATATATCATTTATTTAATTTATTTTTGTATTGGTTTTTCAGTTGAATTATACGTTCAGGGTAATCAACAGTTAAAAAGATACTGTTCAAATTATTATTTGTTTTAAAGTTCAATAAATGGATGTTTTCAAAGTCAATGAATAATCTTATTTAATAATCGTGATATCAATTATTGACCTAAATAATCGTGATTATGATTTTTGCCATAATCGAGCAGCCCTAGTGTGTGTGTGTGTGTGTGTGTGTGTGTGTGTGTGTGTGTGTGTGTGTGTGTGTGTGTGTGTGTGTGTGTGTGTGTGTGTGTGAGAGAGAGAGAGAGAGAGTAACAAGAGCTATATTCAGAGCTCTGCTGCCTTGGCTACAATCTTTCATCGTTGCTGTTGTATGATTGGTGTTTAACTACGGTATTTAGCGTATACACTACAGCACCTCCGCTTTTAGGGTTGACGTCGAAGACCCAAACGTCGCCCGGAGGTCCAACGGTGTTGTTGCGGGAGCTGCTGCACTAGCTAACGCTGCACTAGCTAACGCTACATTAGCCAAACAAACGCTAATTTATTTTGCAAAAGGTGCAGCAGGCTTCAAACACGTTCCCCTCCACTGGTTTCAACCAAGCACTAAATTCGATGTTTTCCAACCAAATACGGTTGAACTTACACTTCCCCATATTTATTTGTAAGTAGATTCGAAGAGACATGAGTTTCTGACTGCCGCTTGCTGAAGCTTGGTTGCTAGGTTACTAGCTGGGTGTTCTCCGTTAAGGGGCCGGGGGAAACAGAGTTAGTGATTACTGGTTCCATGTTGATTTATTTCAATACAAATTGTTGGGGGGAACTGAAAGGCTATTACCGTTACTTTGCAGCCCGGACATTTCCCCCAAAACACATTTTAGACGCGATCGCAACACAGAAGTACCTTTCAAATCCCATCATTTTTAAGACCTTCTAAATCATATTTAAGACCTTTCTTATTTTTTTGGTCATATTTAAGACCTTTTTAAGGCCTTAAATTCAGATTATCAAATTTAAGACTTTTTAAGACTTTTTAAGACCCCGCGGGAACCCTGTGTATAGTAATACAGATACAGACAAAAACATGAGACACATTATAGAAGACATCCACCCTTGACTAGAATGCCTCCCAAAACTTTTCATTATTGATATAGACCGGTCCTATTATTGGAATTTTGAGATATTCGGAAGCGAAGTTTTGTCAATGAAACTTTCTGTGTTCAAGTGAATACTACATTAGTGTTAAATAACTGTTAATTTAAGTTCAGCAATGTTGTGTCATAATCCAATTGTTGTCAGTTGTGAAAAATACAATAAACAACAACATGATATCGGCATTATACTGTATATTGTCCATTGGCCAACCTGCCTGCTAAATATTATGGGGATCAGCATCGGCCTTTAAAAAACCCTTATCGGTCGACCACTACTTTGACAGATTTTTTAATCCGTCCTTGCATTAAACTGTCTTTCACATTAAAAACTCTGCTTGTTAACTGGATGAAAACAGAATCTCTTCAGCTCACCTTCACAACAACGACACCACAGCTACATCCATCCTTTTGAAGTGGGTGGCCCATAACGCCTCCCTTCCACTTAACTTCCACCCAGTCTGTTATGCTGTGGCGTGTCCTCCTCATCTTGAAGTACTCCCTGAGAAAGGATAATGTTAACACACTTTATATTTCTAATTATGTGGCACCTAAAGATAATGTAACAGACATTTATACTGTTTGTATTCACCATATGACCATTTATTTATATAAGGGTCAGCTATAGATATCACTGTCTGAACACAGACTGTATCAGACTGTTTAAAATGCTTTCAATGCTGTTTGTGAGTATGAATGTAACTAAATGTGACACATTTTTTACGTTTAAATATAGTTTTTACTTGAATTTTCAAATATCTATTGAATTTTTATTTACTGTATTCTTTTGGCAGCATGTTTGGAGTCATCAAGCTCTTTGATGCTTTGAGCTGGATCCACCAGGAATACGGTGCTGGTTTTGGCATGAATGTACTGTGAGAGAACAAAAAAAGTAAAAGCACTTTTCATCAAAAAAGATTTTTGGTTTCACTATGTAAGTCTTGTGCTTTAACAGAAATAATACAATAACAAAAATAATTACAAACCAGCAACTTCCAGTGGTTGTTGTTGACAAGTACAAAGGACAGGACAGCTTCATAGTTGTCAAAGTTTACCTATAATGGCATCAAATAAAGGATTAAAACAAACTTGAAGGCTAAGGTAAAAATAACAACAACATTAGTCTGACAATTATGTTCTTGTGCCATTCATTTGTTGTGCTTAAAACAAGTGTTGGTATGGAAATTCAATAGTAAGTAGATTTATCAGGTGATTTAACTAATGAGTATAGTTTCAGAGAGGATCAAGTAAAATAATCTCAGCTAATTTCCTATTTAAGACCTGTGGATTTTCAGGCAATGCTTCACTCCATGTACCTAATGTGTGAGTGTGAGCCCACAAATCAAATCCACACCTACTTCCCCCTAGAGCATCACCATGCACAAACACAACACACCACACACATAGACATACACAGACCACACACATTACCTTTGGTAAACTGTGAGATGTTAGCTGAGTTCTGTCCCCGAACAAAATGACACCTGCTGTGTAGTGATTTAGCAAGTACATTTTGTTCACAACGCCGAATTTGTCGGCAGCAACATGAAACACGCCTTCAATTACCTTGCAAAAAAGATCATAACAATTAGCCAATTAATGCATATTCCCAGTTTTACTGAACTTTCATTTCCTGCAACTTTGAGAATCTTGTGACTGACAAAAGTATCTAGACATTTTTTTCAGATATTTTTTTGGCAGAAATCGTTAAATGCAAGATAAAGAAAATGACACAGTGTAGAGTGAAACTTCAGACACTTGAAACATGTAGTCACGTACCTCCCCTGTCAACCACTGGTGGGGTCGAAGTGAGCATAGCTCACAGTGGCGGATAAGTAAGATGCGTCCTTTCATCTGTGAGGGGAGCACTGCCACGACCACCTCGGTGTCCTTTTTTTTCCACAGCCAGGTCAACTGCAAGTCAGGATTGAGGGGAAATAGATGCATTCTGTTTAATATGGACACTTGAGGAATCTTTTAACCCTCCGGTATCACTCTGGACATTTTTGTCCCGAATGACTAATTACGGTAGTGCATTTGAATGATACCAGAGGGTTAACAATCTTGAATTTTTGGGTGAAGGCCTTGTTTTTGTATATGCACCATCAAAGCTACATACACAGAATATAATTAAACTGTCCATGTTTATGCATTTAACCTTTTTCCCTTTTAGAGTTTTCACTAAATGACATTAAACAGGCTGCTCAGGAACAGAGACTGTAATTGCAGTTTCAAGTCTGATTTAGAAATCTAGTTTCTGTTATAAGTTTGTATGCTGTATTTACATTTACATTTTTCATCTTCATATTCTCCCCCTACAACATGCACTTAATCATCTTGGGTTATAATACTTCATGTCCTTTGTCCTTCACCTCACTCTTTACCAATTTAGTCCATGCTTTACTTTCTGACAATATTTACTTATTCCATTGTTACAATTACAATGCTGGAGAACAATTTACACACTTTGAACATAGTAAGTCTTAGAGAAACTCACATTTCCCTGTGCATCTTTTTCCTGTTGGTCCACTTTTCTTTTCTTCAGCTTTGTGGCAGGTGGGCTCTTGGGGTTGGGTAGTGTTTTTGGTGGATTGAAGTACTTGGACTTGGACTTGGTGTGACCAGCAGAACTTTCCCGCTTGTTCCACTGTTCCTCGTGGTCATCATCTGGCCTGCTAGGATGTCCAAAGTTTTTGTCCAGAATATGCATTGGCAGATTGTGTTGCTCAATGTGCTCTACATATCTTCCTTGTATTGAGGCATACATTTTGGAGATGAACTCTGCTGGTCTCAGATACTTTTTTTTTAAAAGGATGGAGTGTTTGACCAACCCAAACCAGAGCTCAACATGGCAGTTGGTATCCCTGGTTTTATGGCTTCCATCTTTTTTAGAGGTACCTTTTCTATGTCGCGACAGATCCCCAAGCAACAAACCACTCCACAATGGGAAGATCCCCATGTAGTTTTTTAACAGTGCATCAATGACACCAGGACAGAGGTAGTGGTTTTTTACACGAACAGCATCGTCAGAGAGAATGTCACACTCTGCTTGGTCCCGCCTGACTTGAAAAGCTCATGTAAAAGGGGACTTTCCCATAATGCTATGAGCATTTTTTTCCATTTTGCTTTCCTCCTCTCCCATTACATGTCCACTTTCTTCCAGTTTCACGTCCCGAGTTTGCAAAATGCACTTGTCAAGGTACATTTTGCTCTGTTTCACCAAATGAGTGTACTCCTCTGCATCAAAAAGCACACACATATGATAAAAAACATTAATGGCTTCCTGCATACTTGTGCAGTTCAGGATGTACGCAAAACAGAATGTTGCATATTCCTGTGTGCCTCTGTCTACAGTTTTTTTTCCAAATGCTTGTGACACAGCCTTCATGATATGAGCAGAGCACAGATGCAGCACAGTGAAGTTAGGAATCAGTTCAGTTTGTCCAGACACTATCTCAAATGCTCTGTCAAGGTACACTGACATATTTTCCCTGTTAAAAGACAGAAGCACACTGTTTATCAGAGCCCAACTATAATCTGTCTCAACCTGTGCTATCTTTCTTTTTGTTGTGTCAGACAACTTTCTTTTAAATTCCATGAGCCAATGGGAAATAGATGGAATGGAATGGCTGTTGGTGATCAGTTCTGTGACAGGCAAGGGAGGCTTATCCTTACCCATTCCGGGCAAAACCAAAGCATAGTACAAGACCCGCTTATTTTGATCAGGAATTCTCTGTATCACGCTGCCTGTGGCATCAAGGTAGAGAGTCGTAGGTGTTGGCTTTTTTAAGTGCTCAGTCAAACATTTTATTCCAGCATCTGTGTATAAATGTACAGCAAACGGATCTATTTGTAGGTGCTGAAGATAGCCTTTTGATGATGCATGACTGCTGCTCTCTTTGATTATTTTTTGAGTCAACATGAGTTCAAGCATCATGTCATCGTGGAGCCTTGCACTTTTCTTCACTTCAGAGGATATTGTCTTTAACACATCTTTGGTGAGGCTTCTGCTTATGTTACCAGCCATTATTTCCTCTACTGGTGTCTGTCTTAACATATTGTAATAATAATTGCTGACACCACTGGTTAAGGCTTTGGAAATGGTTCCTCTTCTTGTGTATTTTGCTGGTCTAAATCGCCTTTGATTTTTATGGTGTATAACTTCACCAATACGCATGACTTTTAAAAATATTTTTGTATCCGTTGATTTTGGCCTGTTCTTTTTTGAGAAACTGTAGACAGCGTTGCATCCATTAAATGTGCATTTTGCAGAGGCACAGAAAAATGGCGAATTCTTTTTACGGCTATCCTTTGTCTTAACATGCTGGTATTTGAAAGCAAGTGTGCAGCATGGATTCTTTTTCAAAAATTCCTGATAAAATGTATCAGTCCAGGGGGGACGGAGTTTTTGTTTGCCATGTTTAGGTTTAATTTTGTTCCATTGTTTTCTTGTCATGGCAATGTTGAACTTTTTTGGCCCTGCTTTGCACTTTCTGTTAATTTGTGTTGTCATTTCGGTGGCTGTCTCTGTACTTTGCTGGTCTGACTCTTCTGTGTCTATCTCAGACTGTGGCTGTGCATTACTCATTTCCCTGTCATCCTGACTTGTGTCCTCGTCTTCCTCACCTGTAGGTGGGCTGGAAGACTGTTTTTCTTCATCATTCTTATCTTCATCTTTCCCCACAGGCTCTGTCCCTGTTTTTCGTTTTTTTTTTTTTCGTTTTTTATCCTTTTCTGGCCCTTTCTTGTCCTTGCCTGTTTGTCCCTTTCTGTTCATTTGTGTTGTCATTTCGGTGGCTGTCTCTGTACTTTGCTGGTCTGACTCTTCTGTGTCTATCTCAGACTGTGGCTGTGCGTTACTCATTTCCCTGTCATCCTGACTTGTGTCCTCGTCTTCCTCACCTGTAGGTGCGCTGGAAGACTGTTTCTTGATACTGTGCTGTCCATCTCTCCCTCTTTCACTGACATATTTTCCTAAATACAAACATTACAAAAGTAAAAAATCTCATTTAATTACTGTATCTCTTATCTTAAGACTACAATGCAACTTTAAGCAATCTGCCATCCTTGGGTCAATTAGGCTACAGTCAATTATGTTAACATCCTACTGTGATGGCTGTAGTATTTAATTAAATAAGTACATTAACCCTTATGCCTCCCTAAGGAAATGTATTGTCCATATCACTGTTTAATTTTGCGAGCATTCTGATTGTGTTAAGAATATGGCACGACATTTGGTAAAGATGTGAGTTTTTTGGAAAACAATTCTTAATAAGTGTATGTGTAATCAAAATAGTGACTTTCAGATCCCTAGCGACAAAAATACAAATGAATGAACATTTGATAATTATGATCAGCACTGAATTGGGTTAAAATATGTAAGTAATTGAAAGTGGAAAAAAAATATTAACATAGCCTATAATATCTTTATTACAGTATTTTTAGATGCGGACATTTTTGTCGTTAGTGTTTTCAGAGTAACGTTTTTAAAAGGGATTCACAAGGGTTAAGCTTCAACTTAAAAGCCTCTGGGGCAGAGTCCTGCATGGGTCCAGTTTTCAAATCCGCACCCACCCGAACCCTCGCAGCTCAATACCGCGAACCGACCCGTTACACGCAATTATCTTCAAGTCAAATCTGGACCCGACCTGTTGATATAAGACCCACGACCCGACCCGTTGTGAATTTTGGAAATGATTACATCTATATTTTTTCATTAAATCTTGACTTTTGGACTGTCAGTTACATAGGAGCACTGCTGTGTGTGTTTGAGAGAGAGAGGAGGTGGACTATTGCACACGACGCTGTGCAATAGCGCTGAGCGAACAATCCTCCGTGTTTCAACCTCTTAAATCGCTGCATAGCCGATTTATTTGGACTGGATTATCCCAGAGGGTCTAAACATTCTTTATAACACAGTTTGAGATTTGTGAAACCTTAATTCTATTTGTGAAAATACAAAAAAGGGAGATTTCAGTGCTTTTTCGCATCCTGGCCACATTAGACCAGGTCCTGATCTAAAACCACTATACCTAGACTCATCACATCTGGACTGGATTATCCCAGAGAGGCTCAACATTCTTTATAACACAGTTTCAGATTTGTGAAACCTTAATTCTATTTGTGAACATTTTAAAAAGGGAGATTTCAGAGCTTTTTTCGCATTGTCTGGTCTTCCCCGGTGCTCCATGTCTGTTCGTCGTCGTTTCTCGTCTGTGATACCTGTTAGTCTCTTTGCTCTCGTCCATGCTACCTGTCACGCTCCATGTTTGTTCCTGAGGTTTTTTGTCCTGATCCTTCCTCGTACTCCCCCGGTTTTGGTATGTTAAGTTGTTCCTTGTTTTCTTTTGTCATTCAGCTTTGGGAATAAAGCTCGCTTTTTGTTACCTGACCTTTTAGTCCTTTTACTGCATTTGGGTCCTATTTTTCCCCAACCCTGACACTGAGTCTGCTTCAAATTCACTTATTATCCTCACAGGATCATTTTATTAAAGTTAAAGCAAAACTTACTAAAGCATTCTAACTGTTTATGCTTTAACAGCAATTAATAAATGATCCAGCTTTGCTTTTGGCTAACTGTTTTTGTTGTTCTGCTTTATGATTGTAATGCATGACTGTGCCAACATGTGTCTCCTCCTCCCTGCTCTTGTTTGTAGGCTGCAGCTGCTTTTCAGGAGACCAGGCCTCGCAATTATGTTCTTTCTGCCAGTGCATCAGCGGTAAGAGTCCATCACAAACTGCAGGGTCTGTCACCCAGCAGGAGCTAGGCTAACATGCTAACAGGCACAGAGCCTTAGAACACCACATACTCCAAAAGACAGATGATAGCTCACATCAGGGCACAGAGCTGCTGCAGCCTCACCTGGACCAGCAGCTCGTTGGCTAAAGCTATTGAATGTTGTGTCGGAAGCATCCAGTGGCTTCAGAACATGTATATAGTCTATCTTAAAAAACATCTTGAATTTATTTGTAGAAAGTTAGTTTGTTATTTAACAGGGATGGAGACTTTTTTTAGTTTCATACATTTTCAAAAATACATTGTTAGAATTTCTAAAAAGTAGTCTTACTCAAACCACTCAAATAATGTAAATAAAGCAAAAGGCTCCTGAAATCCTTTCACATGTACTCACCAGTGTAACGCTGCCTTGCTCTGCTCCTAGTATATTTAAACTGCATGGGATGACGGCTACTAATGAGCACTGCACATGATATATATATTTGGAATGCTTTATTGATTGAAGTGGGGGCTGCATTTTGAATTTTTTTATGTCAATTTATTGAACATGTCAGAAACAAAACATACATCAATACTAATAATAATATATATTGCTTCTTTCTTTTCTTCCTTCTCACTCATAATAATGATAATTATACCAAAGTACAATAAAATAAATAATAATGATAATGCAAAAAAAATAAAAAATAAAAAGAAACAACAACAATAAATCTTAAATTAGTCTCTGTCGTGTTCAACAGGGGCAAGAAGAAGCTTAAAAAACTTTTCTGGTCCTACCCCTTCTAGCGTACATTTTCCTTGCAGTATAAATGAAGTAATTAGGTCATCGTCATCAGCGACATGTTTGTCTTGATACTTTTTTACAAAAACAATCAGGAAGTAATTACTTTTACAATTACAGGAAATAACAAAAAGAATTTTTACAGGTACTGTTCATAACCACTAATGGTTTGGCTCTTGAATAATACTTTCATTTTATATAAAGTTGTACAATTTTTCAGTGCATCACTACATTTATTCCACAGACTAACAC